TGATTGTATCATTTGTTGATGCTGTTGCCGGAACGTGAAGTGTGAAATGTGCGGTGCGGGGGCAACAGCTGTGGGATAATGTAGCTTGTAGCCGCTGATGTTGTATTGCGTCGACTGCTGTATAACGGTTATAAAGTAAACAATAAGAAAAAGTAAACAACAACGAAATAATGTGATTGCATAAGTGCGTGTGTATACTGGCATAAGAAAGAAAAGTTGGAAAAAAAAAAATAAAAATTAAAAAAATATGAAAGCAACTTTCGAAAGAAAGCGAACATTTGTCTGCGGAAGAAGGAAAAGTTGATGAAGACAACATCCGGAAAAACTAAACTGGGCTGTGAATAGTACAAGTGTCTGTATGTATGTAATTGCATAACTCATGTATGGATATACATAAATTCCTGTCTAGCTGTAGAAATGTTTGTGTACGCCTTTGCAACAACTACCGGCAAACAAAAGTTGCATGCAGCACAAAAGCTTTAACAACAACGGTAAAGTTGCTTAAGAAATTTCGTTTGAGTGATGCTCTCATTTCATTTTTGAGACACCAGCGTTCACAGCGTAAGATATAAACTAGAGAAGTCATGGTGATACATATGACAATAGTGAACCCACTGGCATTTCCATAACAGTCTGTTTATACTATGTATGTGAAAACAAATGCTTTTCACTACATTGTCCCCGCATTTGCTCTTCACAAGTTGCTTCTGCATCAAAGGCGATAATGTTGGTTTTCATTTCCTCTCATTTCCCTTAATCGCGTTTTGTTCATCTTTTCTTGTAAGCATTTCTTGATTATCTGGTTTCTTTCTTGTCTCTCGTTTTGGCAGATTTCAGGTGTTCTCTGCAATAGCCAACAAATATATGTGAATGCAATCTTCTTGCGCCTGATTGAATGCATACCTCTTTGTCTGCGAGAATAGTGTTTTTTTCCAGAAATCATTTAAGCTTTTGTTTTGGTGATTTTTCTGTGAAGATTTTCGAAGAACCGCTTATATATAGTAAGTACTATATATGTATGTATGTATATTTACTTTCGCACTCATGTACAATTTTTATACCGGCGTGCACTTATGCCCAAGGGTATTATAACTTTGTTCACATAACGGTTCTTTGTACCAGCCTAAAGGAATCGAGACAGATATAGACAAATGTATACCAAGATGCTCAAAATGAAAAGAGAAATCGATTAAGCCGTGACTGTGAAACTTGGTCAGCGTACATATTTCTTTTTAGCTATAGACTAAAGGTTTTGAAATTGGATAAAATCGGACAATAACCACGCCTACCTCCCATGTGTAGATGTGCAAAAATATATAAACTGCTGCTTAATTAGTAAACACGAAGCTTACTTATTCAAAATTGATATTTACATGATGAGCCCTTGGGGGAATAGTACAAAGTTTTGGAAAATGGGTGTGGTCCCGCCCACTAATGGTTGCACCAATTTCTCCCAAAGTTGGCACAGTTGTTGGTCTTTATACAACACAGCTAACAGCTGAAAATTTTTGGAACCGTACAATAACCACGGTCACATCCCATATAACTAAAATTACGTCCACTTCTGATATAAAGGTATATTTTAGAAATACGGAAATTTCGATATTTCGAAATTTAACAAGAATGATAGAATCCCTTCATCGTGGAAATTTAATTTAAGTACGCTTATTTACTACAAGTTGATAAACACAACAAAATCTTAAAACCAAATAAGATTATTCTCGAAATTTTGAAAATGCCGCCTACTTATGTCTATACGAGCATGTCTCATTAAGGCTAACTGAATCGAAACTGTTTGAAATAGGGGTAAAACATCCCGTGCGAAATCATGGGCCAAACATAGTAAAACTACGTTTTTATCTTTGCTCTCTGACGTCAAGACTTTTTTTAAAGGACTTTAAAATTTGAAAAATATAGTTACTTAAAAATAATATAAAAACAAAAAAAAATTAGAGCAATGTAGAAAAAATTATGACTATCAAATTAAAGAGAAAATTCAGTAGAATTAAGGCCGCTTAAATTTTTTGATCCATACGGACGATTAGGTATTGAAAATGTCCTTTTAACATTTTATCATTGAATATCCTTGAAATTTTACAATAATTATGTTGGAAAAAAAATCATATGTTTAGGACTAATATGCACTCAACCATATCCTCGAATTAGTAGGCTAGAATGAGTCCAGAAAATCTTTAATCTTTCTTTGAAATTTACTGAGCCAATTCCATCTGTCTTCGTTCAATCGTTTCTTTAAAAAGGCTTTGAAATGACGTTACACTATTTTATTCGAGTACGGACAATAATGGGAGCGCACACACAAAACTTAGGGACGCGTTTCCAAACAGATTGGCTGACAATGAACTGCCCGGTCGGGAAGGGATATCCAATCCTTTAAAGGGGGTGTAAGAGAAAGTATACTAATACATATCTGCACAGCTATTGAATATGTCTTCTGCTAAATAAAATTTGACCAATAATATTTTTGGCGCTGTAGTAAGCAAAATAGTAAAAGGCTGCACAAAAAAACTATCGCGCGTGCACATTTTATTGAGAAATAAAAGACTTTAATCAAAAAAAGTTAGTTTAACTATTTAAGCAAATTAAAATTGCAGCTAAACTTGAAAGTTACGCATTTTTTTTTTTAATTTGCATTTTAGAACTTTTGGAAAAGTTTGCCCTCAGTAAATTGAAAAAATTCACTGATGGAGGAAAAGAATTATAAAACAAGTAAGAGCAGCGCTGTCTTCGGCTATGCCGAAGGCTTCATACCTTTCATGAACATCTGCAAATTTTACTTTGACAGATTACTGCTTTTGAATACATCTGCATACATCGATAGAGGAGTTACATACTTATATAAAAAATCGCATCTAAACAATCAGAGGTATGGAAGATATACTTTATATGACACCAATCTAAGTGATTTTCACCGCTATGTGATCGGTATGTAAACCGGTAACACAATTTATTGGGTTTAGTTTCCTACATAAAGGAGATATATCGCAAAAACTGGTATCTGAACAATCAGTGCTATAGGAGATAAAGCTTATACAGCATAGATTTTGACGATTTTCTCAGTAGACTTTGTATTATTATTTATAAAATATCTTACGAAATTTATCGGTTTTAGCTGTTCAAATAAAGAAGTTTTACAGTAAAATCCCATATCTGAACAATCAGATGTTTGGAAGATATATGTTGTAGTCATCCGATCATTGTTATTTTCACTGTAAGTATTCTGTAAATAATGAGTGAAAATGGTGCGAAACTTCATGTTCCTAGCTGCATAAATGGAGGAGTTATGATAAAAGACCTCATATCTGAACAATCAGTTGTATGGGGGCTGCAGGTTATAGTGACCCGATCTTTATTATTTTCGAGGTAAGTCTTCTGTTGATAATGAGTGAAAACAGCGCGAAATTTCATGGTCCTAGCTACATAAATGGATGAATTATAACTAAAAATCTCATATCTGAACAATCAGTTGTATGGGAGCTATAGGTTATAGTTACCCGATCTTTTTAATTTTCACTGTAAGTTTTCTGTAGATAATTATTGAAAACAGTGCGGAATTTCATGTTCCTAGCTATATAAATGGAGGAGTTATAACGCAAAATTTTATATCTGAACAATCCGTTGTATGGGAGCTATAGGTTATAGTGACCCGATCTTTGTAATTTTCACTATAAGTATTCTGTTGATAATGGGTGAAAGTGCTGCGAAATTTCTTGTTCTTAACTACATAAATGGAGAAGTTATAATGAAAAATCTCATATCTGAACAATCAGTTGTATGGGAGCTATATGTTATAGTGGTCCGATTCTTCCGGTTCCGACAAATGATTAATACATTATAAAAATACACCCACCTACCAAATTTCATCCGAATATCTCGAAAACTGAGAGACTAGATTGCATACAAACAGACAGACAGACGGACAGACGGACAGACGGACAGACGGACAGACGGACAGACGGACAGACGGACAGACGGACAGACGGACATGGCTAAATCAACTCAGCTCGACGTTCTGATCATATAAGTATACATTTTCATGGGTCTATCTCTTTTTGTTCTGGTACTTACAAACATCGGACCAAAGTTATAATACCATTTCATGCTCATGAAAGGTATAAAAAGATACAAAAACAAGGATTAAATAAAAGCCAAATTACCCGATACGCATGACAAGCTGCTTAATTAAAAAGCATGAAGGACAAGAGTTAGTTAAGAAAAAATCAACGGCTTAACAATAGTCAACAACAAAAACATAAAAATGTAAGGAAATGAGTGGGCAGTCTGCTGCTCCAAGACTTTTTCGCTTACCGCGGCGACGGTCATATAGAAGAAAGAGAAAGCGATTTTATGTAACAGACGCGGTTGTGCGCTTCCCTGAACAGAATGCCAAGAAGACTCTTCTTCAAAGCAGAAAGTCAGCACGCAGTGGCCGCACAGCGTGGCTACTCTTTGTTTATGACATTCTATTTAGCTGCCCTTTGTCCACTTTTGATTTCAATGTTTCCCTTTTTTCTTTGCTTATTTTTCTTTTTTTTTTGTTTTTCAACTAAGTAACAGCTTTTATTTTTCTTCTTGCCACAGTCCAACCCTTCGTGCACTTTGAATCAGTTAGCAAAAGATAAAACCACTTGGCATTGAAGCTGGTCAATGCGGCGTAAAGTGTTTACTACCAACTGCTGCGCTTAGTTAATTTTCTATCTAATTTTAAGCATTGCTCCCTTGTTTTGCTTACTTTTGACTGAATTGTGCAAAAAGTCCTTTTGGCGCGTTAGAGGGGGGAAAAAAGAAAAAATCTTTCTCCAAGTTGCATGCATTATTCGTTTTGCCTATTTTGGTTTGTTCGCTTGCAACACTTTTAAGTTGTATTCGTTTTTTTTTTGTTTTTCTTGCGACCAATCTTTTTTTAGTTTCGCTTTTAATCCTCCAATTTTCTAATTTTCTCCATTTTAAGTTAAGATAGTTAAAATGTTTTTCGTTCTTACCTTACACGTGTAAATGCCTTCGTCCATGCGATTTGCTTTTGTTATACCCAAAATGGCAGTGAAAGTATCTTTTGTTTCCGGTGGTAGAACGGTGGTCCAGATTTCTCTGAAATTAAAGAATAATTTTGTTTTTCAATTGCGTTTTGTAGGCACTGCTTAAATCAAAGAATTTCCTTAGCAATTTTTAGTGATATTATTTACTTGGTTTTTCAAAGACACAACTTAATTAACGCAACTGATTCAGAGGAAATAAATCATTTTCAAGAAGGTCACATTTTCTCTGCTCCTTTTTAACTTTATACCAAGTGCACATTCCGAACTAACTCGAAACCACAACCTTTGCAAAATACTTTTGTTTTGCACCAAAATTGTGATTCTAAATATTTTATTTGTATATGCTTAATAGTTTTTAATGAAAACCTTATAAATATACACTTTTTCGAAGATGGTTGAATACGGTTGAATCAAACAAAATGTACTTAACCTTCTCATGGCCGATGTTGCCTATAGGTAACAATGACATAGTGATTTATAAATCTTGTTGGTTGAAATATTTTTTCTAATAGATTGTTTTATGCGACACTTTAGAATTCTGTGCAGGCAAAAGGATGTCCAGCTCGCGCAATCTTATTTGTAACTAGCATTCAGAAATAAATAAAAAAATCAGTCTTTGTTTGCATTTTTACATTTTGGAATGCAGGGAATTTTTTATATATATATTTTTTTTTGTTTACTTAAAGATTGTAATACAATCAATTCGGGCATGAAACGGTTAACACTTGTTTTTTAGAAATATTTTTGAGCAGAGCTGAAACCTATAAAAATCATTTAGCTTATGTTCGCAAGCCACGATGTAGCAATACAGATTATTTAGTAGAGTAGGATTGTTTTCGATTTAAACGCGAGTTCATTGATCAAGTGACTGGAAAAGGGTGCCTGCCATAAAGAGTTCAAACATAAATGTGAAAGCATTCGCCTTGAAATGCGTGCCAGTTGTAAAAGTGTCTCATTGATGCGATTAGCATAAATTTGTAGAACAAAGCGCCGCTAATAAATCTACAAACATATGTATGTATGTATGTATGTATGCATGTTCACAGATAAGCGAATGCTGAATCTACTAAAAGCTGACCTACAAATTCACGCAAATCACGAGTGTACTTACTTGCAAATTACATGGTAAATGTGTCATTTATACACACATTTACAGTGATTCAAACAAGTGTTCACATATTGATTTTTTTTTTTACCAATCACAATGTTCTTCAAATAAAATTTTTTGTTCTTATTTTTTATAAAAATCGTGTTCATGCGTTAACCAAAATCACATACATCAATACTTTATACACACTTCGAAAGAATTAAAAAAATTTCAACAGTTTTATAGCCCATAAAATTGTAATAAATAAGTGCAAGTTTCAAGCGTTTAAAAAATCACGATGATTTTGAAAAATTTTTTTTTGTTGATGGCTTTTGTGTGTTTTTTTTTTTTTAAATAAGAACTGCAATCTATAGGAAACTAAATTTTTTAAAACTTAATTTAACTTGAAAAACATTGAGAATAGCTAAAAAAAATTAACATGTGAACGTTTCTTTGAGTCACTGTATGTAAAAATACTTACATATGCTTGCCGTTGTGCTCATGTGTGATTTTGTCACCATTAGCAAGCAACATTGCTAATTACTATTCAAAAACAAAGAGAAAAAGTATGTAGAGCGCTAGTTAGCTATGAACGTGATAATTCATAGTTGTGTGAATGCTTTTGAAATTTACATACAGATTTAAATACATATATGTACATTAGGGCGGTTCAACTTTGCAGCAGATATCAGTTCAAATACCAAAGTTAGTTTACTTTTAGGCCAGATTTTCAGTAATAATTAGTAGAGAGATAGGCAACTTTTGACAATTTTTTATTTTTTATTGGAACGTTGTCACATGTCGAAAAGTGCATCTCATATTCGAGAGACCGTTTATCTTTTGAAAATAAAAGGTTTAAAAAATCAACACAACACAATTTTTATTTATTGTTATTTATTATTTGTCAGACGCTTTGTTTAAAAAATTCATATTTACTGGAATTTACTGGAGCTGGTTGAAAACTTTGCTATTTGTCTACTTACAACGTCATATTAGTAGCCAAGAATGCTTAAAATTAGAAAATTCAGTATTCATTCTTAGCCCCTATTCAATTTTAAATAAAAGTTTCTGGCTATATATATACATATGTATGTATATGTACGCTAACTGTTATGCCGTAGTGTAGCATGCTGACGTAGCGGCCACAAATCTGTAGTAGGCCAGGAGCTGAGTTTCCACTAGAAATAAGAAATTACATTAATGTGCGCATGCTGATAAAAATACACATGCAAGTATGCATATCCGCATATACATATATACATAATACATTTGTATACGTTGATATTAGAGCTGTCAAACTATCGGTAGTCAAGTCCATCGATGTGTGTTACGATAGGCTTCAAGGTCACATACCTACTATAGATAGTTTCGACCCATTTCATATGTTTTTCTCAATCCATTTATTTTTCGTTATATTGATTTTATAAATTTGTTTATTTTAGCGGCTCACAGTTGCATTTTAGTATCGAGAAATATTGCTAGAAATTCATTCGCCGTGTAAACAGTCAAAAAGCGATTTCAGAAAGTTTCCCTGCAATTCGCCTTTCGGAAATAAAAAACTTTCGATCGAAAGACACTTTACATGCCAAGGTGCCACTGCTCATGAAACTGCTTTCTGAAATTTCTCAATTTGACAGTCCTTTGAAATATACTGCATTGCCACGTCTGACACGCTCTTAAGACGGCAATGTAACCTCTGCTATTTACACGCTTAAAATAAAAAAATAGCTTTTAGAAATAATGCCATGAACCAACTAAACAAATCACCCAGCACGGCAACCATGTATTTGTAGTTGCATCTGAGAAAAAAAATAATAGTTGATAACATCCGGGCGAAAAAATGACGTCACTGCAAAAAATGCAGAAATTATTTTTGAAGAAGGCTGTCATCTTCAATTCATCAATTTAACAAACAACTTATATAAAATATGTAAACATGAGTGTCAAAATAATGAGGTTTAAGCAAGCCTTAGTTCTAAAATATTTTTGAAAAGTGTTGCCACCTGTTTAGAAATTCAGAGTCAATTTAAATATATTTTTTTTTAATATGGGTATCAAACTATGGGAGGTTAAAAAGTTTTACTTGGAAAATTTTGTTGAAAAGGGTTGC